GTCCTGTCCTGCTTCCTTTCCATTGTCATTTGGGCCTTAGGCCCTTCCCTTCTCCCTTTCCCTAACCTATTCCATATCCTCTTGCTTCTGGGGTACCATGGACTTCCTGGAGGGGATGAAGAAGGGAAGGACTTTTTAGGCTTGCCTAAAGCATAAAGCCCTGCAATAGGGGTGGTTGCCACCTGAAACCAGAGTCTGACTGATCTTCACAGGCTCAGAATGCCATCAATGCCCTGGAAGGGAAGTTCAAGGAAGGAGGTGATAGGGCCTGGGAGGGGCTTGCCTCCTTGGCTCTGCTGGAGTTAGTGCCTGAGCTGGGGATCAGTAGCGCAGGGGTAGAGAGTATTGTCATTAGGAATGAAACCTGTTATTAAGACCCCTCCTGTGTAGGCAAGCAATGAGGGAACAAGAGCTTAAGAATTCTTAGCTATCAAAGAGAGGCTTCTGTGTGTCTCCCAGCTGACTAGGAAAATAGAACTTGGAAGTCTATGGGATTGATTTGGAATGGTGGCCTGGAGAGGATCTGGAGACTTCATCTTTCCCTCCATAACTTCCCCCAGCTCAAGACACAGATGTGGCAGCTCCTCAAGGGCCATGACCATCTACAGGATGAGTTCTCTATCTTCTTTGACCATTTGCGCCCAGCAGCTAGCCGGATGGGTGACTTTGAAGAGATCAATTGGACTGAGGAGAAGGAGTATGAGGTACAGGCCCTGAGGCTGCAGTAGGGTTGTGAAGGGGGAAGGCCATGTGTAGGAGGGATATCTGCCCCAGAGTCTGTGTTGAGTGGCACCAACTCCTCCCCAGTTTGATGGCTTTGAAGAAGTGGCTCTGCCTGATGTGGAAGAGGAAGAGGAACCTCCCAAGATACCCACAGCCTCAAAGAACAAAAGAAGGAAAGAAATTGGGGTCCAAAATCATGATAAGGTACACCAGGTTGTTGGGGATTATCCATTTTTCATGAATCAAGCCTTGAGTTTTCTGTCTAAATATTTCTCTGGCTTAGTGTGGTTCAAAGCCTCTGGGATGTGAGGCGTTCATGGAGCAGGAACCAAAGGTCAGGCTGCTAATGGACAAGCACAGCCCATGGGCAAAGTAGTGCGTTTGCTGAAAAGGCCCCACCCCCGGCCGCCTCAGTAGAAGGATCTGTTTGCCCTTTTTCTCTCTAGCTCAGAGCTATTTTTCTTGCCCTTGAGTCTTAACTTCTTCCATTCTGTTCATGTAAAGAAATAGAACCAAGATTCCCCATTTTAATAATAATGATAACAGGTAATACTTAGCTGTGTTACAAAGTATCATGTATCTCTTGGAAGTATTTTACATAGTTTATTCCCTCATTTAATTCTCACAATAATCCTATGAAGAGATTGCTCTTATTTGCATTTTACGGAAGAAGAAACTTAAGTACAGAGAGAAGCCATTGCCAGGGTCTCATGTTTAATAAGTGGCAGTGCTAGGATATGAACCCGGGTAATCTGGTTCCAGAGTCTTCTCGTACTCACTGCTCTTTACTGCTCTTCAAGAAGTAGCCTTTTTTTTTTTTTGTGAGGAAGATCGGCCCCGAGCCAACATCTGCCAATCCTCCTCTTTTTTTGCTGAGGAAGACCGGCCCCGGGCCAACATCCATGCCCATCTTTCTCTACTTTATGTGGGATGCCGCCACAGCATGGCCCTCCCAGCGGTGTGTCGGTGCGCGTCCGGGATCCGAACTAGCGAACCCCAGGCCATCGCAGCGGAGTGCACACACAACCGCCTGCACCACTGGGCCGGCCCCCCAAGAAGTAGCCTTTTTAATTCATGTCCCTTTACTACATTTCTTTTACTCTTTCTTGGGGAAAAACTGCTTCTTAGTAGCTGAATGACCTTGGGCAATTTATTTAATCTCTCTTTGTTTCAGTTTATGCATTGTCAATGGGGATAATGCACTTATGTCTTGGGTTTATTGAACAGAGAGTATCATTGAGTGAGCCTTCCATATGTACAAAGCCCTCTCTCAAGGGAATTGGAAGAGAGGGGAGCGCTCAAGGCACAGGGAGACAGAAACAAAGACAGACGAGTGAGTAGATCGGATCTCATGATGGAGCTCTCCAGTGACTTTGCCTCAGATTGTGTTTGACTTAAATATTTCTTGAAACATCTAGGCAATTGGGATATGTTAGTCTTTGGGTCATTTAAGGATTGTTTCAGGGATTCATAAGAGACTTTCATCAAGTTTCAGCGTTGATTTCCAAGGCAATGTGAAGAGATGGTGTATATATAATAAAAGAGAATGGATAGGGGTGGGGGTCACGGGGGCGGGCTTGTTCAGATGGCTTGCAACTTAGCTTCCTCTCTTGGTACCAAAAATGCTTGGCAGCTAACCAAGCCGAGGTATCTCCTAGGAGGCTGAGTGGCCAGATGGGGCCAAGGACTGTGCCTGTTCCTGCCATGAAGGAGGTCCTGATTCCAAGCTGAAGAAGAGCAAAAGGAGAAATTGTAGCCACTGCAGCAGCAAGGTGAGGAGGGAATTGGTACCGAGGGGTATCAGAGCTGCCTGGGGCAACCCCTAGGTTGCCTTACTGTGTGGGTATTCTTTGCTATAACAGATGTCTACCTTACTGAATTCCTAAAAATATCTCACATATATAAATAATATGCAGTACACAAACACTGTAGTGTGTGTATGCAAAATAAGTAGAACCTTTTAAAAATATACAATGGATTTTGCTTTTTATTTATTTAATTTTTGCTGAGGAAGGTTAGCCCTGAGCTAACATCTGTGCCAGTCTTCCTCTACTTTATATGTGGGTCGCTGCCACAGTGTGGCTGACAAGTGGTGTAGGTCTGTGCCCGGGATCCAAGCCCATGAACCCCAGGGCCGCCGAAGCAGAAGGTGCCAAACTTAAACACTATGCCACAGGGTGGCCCCTTAATTTTGCTTTTTAAAGAGAATTCTGTGGGTACAGCTTTTGGAATTGGAAAGAAGTCAACCAGTGCAAATATTTCCCTCTTAGATTTTTTTTTGATGAAATAAACCTGGGTCAGGAAGACAGACCCTGAAGGTAATGCTGGGTCTCTGGAGTAGGGTTGGTTGGCAGCAAAAGTACAGTCCCTGGTTAGAGAAGGAGTGGGAGAATCCGCTTCTCTACTCTGGGCCATTTAAAATCGTTGGAGCAGGCATGCATGTTGGCTGACTTGCTGAGCATCATGGCAGGGCTTCTTCCTTTGATCAGCCCCTAAGATAAAAGGAGGTGAGGAGACCCTTGACCCACAAGGCCATCCCTGCAGGTCTGTGACAGCAAATCCTACAAGAGCAAGGAGCCCCATGAGTTGGTGGGCGGCAGCCCCCACCGAGAGGCCAGTCCTATGCCTGGTGCTAAGGAAGCTGAGCAGGGCAAGGACACGATGGAGGAGGAAGCTCCAGAGGAGCGAGAAAACATGGAGGCAACCCAGAGCAGACCTGGCAGGAGTACCAGAAAGGGAGAGATGCCTGTTCCAGGTGAGTGAACTGACTGCCAGCCCAGCCGGTCTCCATTTCTGACTGTCTCACATACTTTAAACAGGAGCATCTTTGAGCCTGGATAAGTAAGTCTTTTCAGGCATGGACCACCACCTCTTTCACTAACAAACCAATAGGAAACCCTTCTCCTGTGCAGCATTAATTTTCTCTCCCGTGGCCTCAGTCCTCTTGCAGAATTGAGTGCTACAAAATCAACATGATTCAGCATTCTCTTCTTGTGTCCCCATTCCTGATTCCCTTCCCCTTATCTCTAGATCTCTGGGATCTACATTCTAAGGATTCAGCCATTCTTAGCTTTGGCAGTCAGAGTTTTATATCTTTATATAAGTGACTTGAGCCCCCACTCCCACTGCACTCTTTTAGATTAGAATTTTATCACCAGAGTGACCCTGTGGTAATTTGTAGTCCTTAGGTGCATCTTGACCCTGTCCATATTTTTAGATCCTTATTTTCCTCCTACACAGGATTGGCAGTGGGGAACACTTTGTTGTCCCAAGAAGTGACTCTTACAGACCGGCTCCTTCTGGATGGCCCACCACCCTACTCACCAGAGACTCCTCAGCGTCCCTCCAAAACGGGAGCTGTGCTGTGCACTATTAGGAGAAAGCAGGCTGGGCCTGAGGTTGTCTCCTGCCCCCAGGCCTCCCCCAGACTTCAGCATGAGGGGGAGGGCCATAAGGCAGTGAGTGAGTCAGAGACTTCCATGCTAGTCTGGGATGTTTCAGAAACTGAGAAATTGCCTGGAACTGTTGAACCCCTTGCTTCCTTCCCGAGTCCTGTTTCCTCAACGACCCAAGACTTAGGGAGAAGACAAGTGTCTGGGAAACCAGATACTCAAGAGAGCTGGCTGCCTTCAAACAGAGCTGGGGTGAAGACAGCAGACAGGATGTCCCCTGTCCGTGAACCTTCTTCATCAGGAATTGACACCTCAGAGACCTCTCCCAAAGCCACTAGAGGAGGTTTGGCTAAAGACAGTGGAATACAAGGGAAGGGTCCAGTGGGGGAGCAGCAGCCAAAGGCCACAGAAGCTACAGTGTGTGCCAACAACAGCAAGGTCAGCTCCACTGGGGAAAAGGTTGTCCTCTGGACAAGGTAGGTAAGGATGGATGGTATGCGTATTTAGAAAGTAGATGGAACACATCCATGTTACTGAGGATTAACCACAATATGTGGGTTACAGGGAAGCTGACCGTGTGATTCTTACCATGTGCCAGGAGCAAGGAGCACAACCGCAGACTTTTAGCATCATCTCCCAGCAGCTGGGAAATAAGACCCCTACGGAGGTAAGTGGAGGAAGCCCTGCTAGAGCTGTAAGCCCAGAGGAACCAAGGAGAGGGCCTGGCGAGAAGAGGACAGGTTGGCAACTAAGAGATATGACATCAACGGGTGATTGTAAAGGTCTGCCCTGAGGAAGGGCTTGATGTGTCAGGGCGGTTGGTAGTGGTTCTAGAAGGGAATGGGTGTTGGATTTTGAGGCAGAAGCCCCAGAAATTCCATCCTAAGGAAGAAGGTGACTTGGGCAAAATATTTAGCCTCTTAACTGAGTTTCCTTATCTGTAAGGAGGACACAGCCCTCACAACCTTACTGTGTGGAACAAATAAGATTGTTCAAATTGGTACATAATGCTTAATAAGTTAGTAACTTAGGAACAGTGAATGCAGCGCTTCGCCTTTCCTCCTAGGTTTCCCACCGTTTTCGAGAACTCATGCAGCTCTTCCACACCGCCTGCGAGGCCAGCTCCGAGGACGAGGATGATGCAACCAGCACCAGCAACACAGACCAGCTGTCTGACCACGGGGACCTTCTGTCTGAGGAGGAGCTAGATGAGTGAGACTCTGGGAGCTGTGGGTGTCACCTGCACAGGATCAAACCCAAGAGGCACCCTGATGAGGGAGAGGGTGGTTGTACTTTGCTTGTACAACCCTTGAGCTCAGTATACAGAGCTGGAGGAGCAGGGGCCGAGGACAAAGACAAAGGCGGGCTGGGGCTCTGCCATCCTATTTGTCATTCAAGGTCTTTTATGAACACCTTAGAAACTGACTTTGTAAATAGCACCGAGGGAGAGGGGGGCTCAGCTCCTTTTCTTCCCTTTTTTTTGGTCTGATGGTACATATTTATTGTTCTGTGATCTAATCACAATGTTTCTAAATCTAATAAATGCCTATGTTGGTGTAGCCAGTCCCAAGACACTGAGCTCCTGCATCCAGCAGTTTTTATTGTAAACTAGCTCTTTCCTTTTCTTTAGTCCATGAGGAACTTTAGTCCGTGAGGCTGTCACCACCCTGGTAGCACTGGGCCAGACTGCATAGCTCCTGCAGCACCTCCTCTAGGTCATCCTGTTCCACTCCAGCATCCAAGAAGCTGGCCCAGCGCCGCAGGTCGAGTTTGGTGAGCTCTTTGGCCAAGTCTCCCAGGGTTCTGTTCAAGGATGAAGAGGAGCAGAGGGCCCCAAGCACTGGGATGCTCTCCACTGCTGCGGAGGGAGGGAAAGGGAGGGGTTGTAAATGGACTGCTATTCTACCCTGGGACTCTCTTGTACACATAGGGGAGTCTGGGCCTTTGGTAGACTTGATTGTAAAGTAAACTCAATAAATTTTGTGTACGGTCCCCTTAGTATACCAGTACTCTAGAGGAATAACACTTCTGTCAGGAGCCATAGAGTGAATAAAGGAATGTTTAACTCTGAACTTCTTAAGTACCTTTATCCAGGAAGGGATATAGGAAAACCTTTCCCATGTTTGAAATTTTGGTTTTCTTCATCCTACATACCTGCCCCAGTTGGGGGACCATCCAGAACCAAACCCTGCTGGCTGAGGCTTGAGGAGAAGAGGTGGGGGTAGGGAGGAACCACCTTGCAGGGAGTCAGCAGCAGATGGGAAGAACTGTGGGGGCAAGAGAAGAGCAGTTGAGTGAAAAAAAGTCAAGGGAGGTGTGAGGTCTGGGAGCAGGGTAGGAGCAAGCATTATACTGACCTCCTGACGCTAGGTTGCTGCTGTTGTAAATACTGGGCCAAGACTTCTTCCCCAGTGGTACACGCGTGGAGCAGGGAGGGCAGAGGTGTCCCTGGGGTGAGCTGACTGCCAGAATAAAGCCAAAACCACCTTTACTTGGTGGCAACATGAATAAGAAGCTAAGAATTCTTATGTTCTCAGGCCATCGGCTGAATCAGGATACTCAGTCTTTTTTTTTTTTAAGTATGGCAGAGGGAAGAAGAGAGAGGCAATGCCATTAGAATGTCCAGAAGTGTCAGGAAGAAAAGGATGTGAAAGGAAAGTCTGACAAGGGCTCCTCAAGACCACCAGTCCTCACCTGGTGTGGCATGCTTTGTTTAGACCCCTCAGCACCACTGACTGGGCAAAGCAGCATATTCCAGAAGGGTCCCCACATGCAGACAATGGGGTCCATGGGGTGGCCCCTCCAAGCTGCACCAGGGCATCAGGAAGGGACTGGCTTGGAACCAAGGGGAAGGGGATGGTTGCTCCCGCTGTCACCACCTAAAGGTCAGGAAGAGATCAAGTTACAGAGCTTTTCTTCAGCTCTGACTCAACCCCTCACAAAGCTTCATACCTTTTTCCCAGAGAAGTTCAGCATATCAGCCAGATGAACCATGGAAACTGGCGAAGAACGTAGGCGATAAGGAACAGTAACTGTGTCCAGGGCTGTAGCCAGGATGGCACTACAGTGGAAGGGCAGAGTGGCCTGTAAAGAGGATACCGAGAAGAGCACTTGGCCTTTCGAGTCTGGAAAAGAGAGAGTGGTGGCAGAATAGTAATGGCAGAGGTCCGGGTTCTTTGTGAAAAAGCCAGGGGTGTGTTTGGCCGAAGGCTGAAAAAGCATAGGACAATGTGATCTAAGAGGCCACATCAGAGCTGAGTTTAAGCTGAGGCTTCAAGAATAGAGCCAGTAACAGACAAAGGCTGACTCAGGGAGTGTGAGGAGGTGCCCGCTTACTCGCTGCACTCAGAAAGAGAGCTTTGAGCCTTACGTCATAACGCAGGTGAGGGAAGCTGACGGGTGACTCAGGTCGCAGCCCCAGGCTCCCACCCAAGGATAAGGGGCAGACCAGAGAGCTGTGAGCAGACAGGCGCACCAGACCGAAAGCTGTGTTTAACAGACGATAGATGTTTTTCTGGGGCTCCTGGTGAAAGAAAGGAGAGTTGTTTAAGCAACTTTCTCAGTGGGCTATCATTCCTTCATTTCTCCCTCATTACACTGACTGTTTTTCCCCTAAGTTCTACTCACCCCAAGACTGTAGGGACCAGGGAGCAGGCCCCAGGTTATTATTCCCCGCCCTGAATACTCGTCTTGTAGCAACTCTGTGGCCTTAGCGCCTACTCCAGAGAAGCCATTGTGCAGGTCACACAGGATCTGGAAGCCCTGGAGAGAAGTGAATGATGAAAGCTAGTAGGATGAGAAGAGTTTCTACCCTGGTGGCCACCATGCCACACAGCTACCTGCAGGTAGTCACACTCCTCCACGTAGAAGTGCAGCCTGTCCTCCAGCTCTTCCAGGTACCTGGGTTCCTTCAGGATACTCTCCCCTTGGCCAAAAGCCTCCAAGCGACCTGCCTCCCTGCCATGCATAAACACAATCCAGGACTTGCAGGACTGCCCCATACCCGCTCCCTGCCTGAGATCTCTTGTTTCTGGGGAGGGCAGGGAAGATGGCCTCAAGAGCCTCATCTGACATTGGGAGGGACTCAGTTTCTTGCCTCACAGCCTCTGGGGCCCCCCATACCCATCATGGTTGTACTTCTGAATCATACAGATGCTCCGGGGGTGAAGATGGACTCGGAGGAAGTCTGACCAGACTCGGATGCTGCCCTCCGGGGGGGTAAGTGGTTTTGGAGTTGTAGCCGTGGTGAGTAGGGGGGGACCTGAAGAAAAAGCAGAAGGAATGTACCTTTCTCCATGTTCCTGCTCTGCCTAGTTCCCCATCCAGCAGTATCTGGACAAGTCTCACCTTTGCCATTGGGAATGGATTTGACCCTCCAGATACCATCACTATTCAGCACTCCCTGGGAGGGATGAGACAAACTACATTTAGTTCCAGGTGGTCTCGAGGCAAAAGTTGATTTATCCTCCTTGATTTTGCTGGCCATTACCCCAGAGCCTCCTTTCTGTTCACCTAGTCATAGTCCTTTAGGGGAAAAAAGTGCTTTTTCCTAAATACCATTCTAAGGCATTTAAGATGATTAAAATCCTCTTTTTCTCTGCCCCAGTGGAGGCACTCTGGTTGTAGCACTGGGTTTAAAAGTTCAGGGCAGAGGCCCTCACCTCTGCACTCAGAAAGTCCTGGAGATAAGGGTTCTTGGGATAGAGTTCCTCTTTGTGTGTGGTGAGCTTCCCCTGCCTGAAAGAAAGTGGAGGTTGATAACAGTGGCAGGTTCCCTGGGTTCTCCAGCATCCTGGGCACATTCCCCACTCCTCTCCAAACATCACAGATACCATGCAATTGCAGCATCTAGCAGTTTGTCCCTGTAGAGTCCACCGTCTTGTTTTAGGGAGCTCAGACTACCTGTACAAAAATAACAGGCAATGTTAGGTCAAATCCTAGTCCCTCCCCTGCTCCAACTAATCTTTCTCTGATCACCTGACAACCTGCTGTCACCATTCCTCCAGCACTTGGCTCTTCCAAGCTTTCTTGAATATACATGAGTTGGAAAAAAACCTTGCTTAGGAGAATCTAGATGCCATCCTTCATTCCCAGCTTAGTCATTAGCTTTGGGACCGGGTCCTACAGGAATGCCACAGTTCAACATCTCACTGTCTCTAGGGGCAAGCTGCCCATTCCAGAGATGGCTCTAGAACGAAATAAAGTTTTGCCTTTTTGCGTCCCTCGGGTCTTGGCATACTGTAGTTAAGTCTACCTGTGGCTCCTACTCTGTGGTCCTTCAGCCTAGTATGGTCGGAGGATCTTGAAGCGAAAGGATGCTAAAGACTCCGCACGCGATGGGGAAAACTGGGCACTGGCGACCCCTACGACCGCCTCACCCTTCAGATCCATGAGGATGAGTCTCGGCGTGTACGTCTCCTGGCCGTGGAGCGTCCGGCCCGTCCGGTACAGGACGTCGGGGCACAGCTCTCCCGGCGGCTCCTTGGCATCGGTCGGTCCGCACAGCGCAGCATCCTGAGGAGGGAAAAAGGAAGGACTGAACTCAGGGCTGGTGAGAAGAACAGGACGGAAGTTAGGGCTGGAGGTCCGGAAGGGGTCCGCTGGGGCAGCCGCCCAGAGACCTCACCTGCTGGTTCCACCAGTGCGCTCCCACGAAACCCGCAAAATGTCCCAACTGCAATGTGAGCACCTCTCGGGCCCCGCCCGCCATGCCGCTCGGCTCCACCGGATCGCACAGTCCCAGCTTGCTCACTCGCTGCTCCTAGCCGATTGGTCGGCAGGCTTGTGGGCGGTGCCTCACCCTCTGCGCCCTATTGGTCCACAAACACATCCTTTCCCATAGGTTAAACGATGCGTTGGGCCTTGGAGACACGCTCATCCTTCCCCTCCTCTTCCTGGCGTGGACCAGTACTGCTTACTCGTAGTTGTCGGCGAGGGGCGGGGCCCCGCGGCCCACGCCGGAAGTTGTGGGCGCCGGAGCAATGTTGGCGCTGAGTCTTTTGTGTCTCACGTGGGGGTCCCTGGTGTGGCTCACAGAAGGTTCTCCTACCGTATTCTTTACTTCTCTTGCAGCTTTTTTCCTTTCTCTCACGGGATAGTTATGCTGGCCAGTAGCGCTTCAGGCAAAAATGAAACCTTGCCAGAAAAGGAGACTCTCCCTTAAGGCCTCCCATGCGCCCCCTCCTTCCCCTCCCTAGGTCAAAGCCTTCCTGACTTATATAACCTTGTGGACTGATTTATCTGTCATCTGTCTGTCTTTCTGATCTATCTATATCTTCTATGTATCATCTGTCTATCACGTTATGTAAATAAATCCGAGTACGTATTCTTCTGTGTCTGGCTTTGGCTCGACATCTTTTGTGAAATTCTTTACTATTCTTGCATGTACTTCAGAATAGTCGTCCATTGTATGAATATACCACAAATGCTGTATTCTACTGATTATAGGCTTTGGGATTGCTTCCAGTTTTTGGCTGTTAGGTGCTACAGTTAACATTTGTGCAGGTGCACATGCACACGTTTCTGTTGGGTGTATACCTAGGAGTGTGATTGTTGGGTCATAAGGATGGGTATGTTCAAACTTGGTAATAACACCAATCTGTTTTATAAATTTCTTTACCAATTTACAATTCCACCACCAGTGAAGGGGAGTTTTCAGTTGATGTTCCATAACCTTGCCAACATTTTAAAATTTTAGTCCTTAACACTGATTTTAATTTTCCTGATTACTAATGAGGTTGAGAGCACCTTTTTGTATGTTTATCAGCCGTTTGGATATCCACTTTTTCGAAGTGCATGTTCATGTCTCTTGCCCATGTTTTTTTGGAGTTGTCTCATTGATTTGTAGGAGTAAGAACTTTATTCTAGATACAAGCCTTTCGTCAGTTATATGTGTTGAAAATATCTTTTCCCACTCTGGTTGCCTTTTCATTTCTGTAAAGGGGGTTTTTTGAAGAAAGAGATTTGTCTGTTTTGTTTTTTTAAATACAGTTACATTTATTGATCTTTATGCAATATTACTAATGCATTTAATGTTATGTTTCGGGCTCTTGATCCTGTTCCATTGGTCTGTTCCAATTTCAAACTGTCTCTAAACACTATGTTTTTTAAAAAATGTCTTAGGTTCCCTGAGTACACAAAGAGACCAAGAACAGGAGAGGGGAGGGTCAGTGTTAGGGGTGACAGAAGTATGGCAGCTAATAAATGTAGATGGAATGATGGAGTTTAAATTTAGATTGCAGCTATCAATTTAAGATTTTATTCAGATGAGGATAATCAATGATGTTAAAACCAGTGGATGATAATTTTTTGGAAAACAGGATGGTTTCAGGATTTCAAAGCAACCCTTCACAGACAACTTGTTAATTACATTGGGGAAAATGTTCTTTTACAATGATGGATGCCAAAATTAACCAGTGGTCAAACGTAGCATCACCGATAACGGAACAAACTGGAATGATTGATGGTGTGGCAAATACAAAATATCACTTATTGGGCCGGCCCTGTGGCTTGGTGGTTAAGTGCGCGCGCTGCGATGCTGGTGGCCCGGGTTCGGATCCCGGGTGCACATCGAGGCACCACTTCTCCGTCCATCCTGAGGCCGAGTCCCACATACAGCAACTAGAAGGATGTGCAGCTATGACATACAACTATCTACTGGGGCTT